TGCTACTCCCTATGTGGATCTCCTGTGAATGTCCAGATTAAGAATAAATGCCCTCATGATCCAATACGCAGATGAGAGGACTGGGTGAGGTGCACACAGTATGACAGCTAATGCCATGGCCACTTCAGGCCTCATGCTCATCAAGGGTATCTGTATTAGCCAGAGTGCTCTAGAGAAACTATATATATGCCCAGAAGACCCACCATCTGTAGTCTGTAAACTGGAGAACCAGAAAAACTAGTGGTATAATTCATTCTTTTTTTTTTTTGGAGAAGTTTTTGATATAGGGCACGTGAGCTCGCCAGAAAGGCAGAGAGAGACAGAGAGACAGAAAGCGAGAAATCACCCCCAGGGGGGATGGCCACGCTGCAATCCCTTCTCCTCCATTCTCCTCTCAGGATCTTGAGCATGCACGCACACGTGCCCGGCATGAGTTTAAGCCACTGGGTCCGGGACTCGAACCACGGTCGACTACGTGGGAGTCCAGTGACATAGCCATTACACTAACTGCTGGTCCCATGGTATAATTCATTCTGAGTGCAAAGGCCTGAGAACCAAGAACTCTAATGTCTGAGGGAAGGACGAAATGATTTTTCCAGCTCAAGAAAAGAAAATTTGCCCTTTCTCTGCCTTTTTATTTAAAAGCCTTCAACAGATTAGATATTTTCCCACAGTGGTGAGGATGATATTCTTTACTCAGTCTACAGGTTCAAATGCCAAGTTCATCCAGAAACACTGTCACAGACACACTCAGAAATAATGTTTTACCAGCTGAGCATCCCTTAGCCCAGATGCATTGACACATAAAATCAATCATCACAGAATCTAAGTTTCACGTAGCTACAACCAGTCAGAGTCATTGTGGAATAAGAACACAGTGTTGCCAGGTGTTCTGATCTTATAAGACAGGCTAGAAATCAGAATTTTAAAGTAAGCCATCATTCAATTAAAACAAAACAAAACAAAACAAACACATGGACAAAAGACAAATCCATTCTGTGGCTGCTGGTTGGTTACTTGAGTATAGGTCATGTGTTGGGTTCTTTATTCATATTACACTGCAGGATGGAATTTCAGAAAGTTCGTGGAAAATGGAATTAAAGTACTAGTTCATTTTAATGCAGAAAGCAATTTTAATCTTTGTAGTTTTTTTTGAAGTAATATCTGTATTTATCTATACAGTTTTTGAACCCCCTTTGTACTTACAAAACCTGTAATGTTCAGCTATAAATTCATTTATTTAACAATTATTTATTACCTGCCATGAGCTGGAATTACATAGGATGCTGGGGAAAATAGGTAAGACCCAACTAGTAAATGAGAAATGATAGCATGACATGGTGACAGCCTGCTGAGTTAGTGTCTCCATTCTGTGATTCCACAGCCCAGTGCATGTAACACACTGGCCAGAAATTCATGACTTCTTGGTTTATGACTTCCCAGTTGCCTGGTCACTAGTACCATACCTTTAGTATGTTTTGTGATCTTGTTTTTTTTTTTCCCCCTTCGTGAGGGTGTAGGTATACTCGCCAGAGATAGAGACAGAGAGAGAGGAAGAAGAGGAAGTACTCCCCCTAGTTCATTTTAATGCAGAAAGCAATTTTAATCTTTGTAGTTTTTTTTGAAGTAATATCTGTATTTATCTATACAGTTTTTGAACCCCCTTTGTACTTACAAAACCTGTAATGTTCAGCTATAAATTCATTTATTTAACAATTATTTATTACCTGCCATGAGCTGGAATTACATAGGATGCTGGGGAAAATAGGTAAGACCCAACTAGTAAATGAGAAATGATAGCATGACATGGTGACAGCCTGCTGAGTTAGTGTCTCCATTCTGTGATTCCACAGCCCAGTGCATGTAACACACTGGCCAGAAATTCATGACTTCTTGGTTTATGACTTCCCAGTTGCCTGGTCACTAGTACCATACCTTTAGTATGTTTTGTGATCTTGTTTTTTTTTTTCCCCCTTCGTGAGGGTGTAGGTATACTCGCCAGAGATAGAGACAGAGAGAGAGGAAGAAGAGGAAGTACTCCCCACTGGGACATGGCCATGCCACAATCCCTTCCATCCTGTTGGGATTTGGGGGCACATGTGCTCAACATGTTTCTTTCCAGCTTCCAGGCCCAGAATTCAAACTGCCCTGGCAGGCATAGGGGATTGGGCTCCCTCAATCACCAGGCCTCAGGGCCAGCCTCGTATGCTTTAGTTCTGTACACCTTACAGTTATTGGAGCCCAGCACATCATAGTGGCTGCAGAAAAAGATATCAGCTGGGAAATAAATGAGCTATCTGCTAACTTTGTGTCATTCAGGGCTAGGAAAGCACGGGAGGGTCTTTGTTCCTGCCCGCTAGCTCTTTCTTCACTCAGGCTTCACTATTCACTCTTCACCAGCCAGTGGTGCAGTGGTTAAGGCAACTGGATTCCACATGATCAGCTCACTGTGTGGTACACGTCCTAGAATCCAGTGGCTTGAAAAACACACTGGGCAATCCAGTGGCTTGAAAAACACACTGGGCAAGTGTGCATGTCCAAAATGCCAAAAGGAGGGAGAGATGGAGAAGGAGTTGCGGTGTGACCAGCTCCACGAGGGTCGCTTTCTCACTTTCTCTCTCTTACTCTCTGCCTCTGGCAAGTGCATGTGCTGTCTGGCAAATTAAAAAGAAATTGCCAAGATGAGAACCACACCCCAATTTAGCAGATGAGAACCCTAAAAGACAGATTTTCAAGGTTAGTATCAAGGTGACGCCTTGGTGTAGTAAAAAAACCATTGGTTTAGAATTCAGATTACCTCTGCCCCTGTGAAATCTTGAGCAAACAATGGACTCCATCCATGCCTCAGTTTCCCCCACTCTAAAATGAGAGTTGAGAAGAGGTTCTCCCGAGTTACTTCTGGCATTCTCAGCCTGTGCTTTCTGAAACCAGTTGCCTCTTTTGAGACTACCTTGCCTGGAAGTAAAACACAAGTTAAAACACTAAGCATGCCTCCCCCTACAGGAAGAGCCAGATTGCAGCTCTCTGTAGGACTAGAGAATGAGTAACTGGGAAGTGGAAATCTCACCTCCTTCCCTCTTCTTTAAGAACTAAGGGGTTGGTCTAAACACAATGAAGTGCAGTGTAAACCACACAGATCACCGGAGTCCAGCTCCAGGCTTTAACAACATTTTGATGTTTGGCATATTTATCTGGATTTCATTTGTTTAAGGCTGAAATGCTACCCTCTTCATTTACCCTGCAGCATTCTCTACCGAGGACTCTGGAGAGATCCATTAGAAAAAGAAGCACTAGGGGTGAGTAAGAGACATTTTGTTCAAAGTGCTGGGAAACAGTTCCTCAAGGGAAGGGAAATGTGGCCCCATCGACAATGTTAAGTCTATAAAATTATTGTCCTCTGGGACCAAGAGCTCTTGTAATGTACTATATTTGTCACTCAATGAATCTCATCAGTTGTCTTATGTATTTAGTTTTATTTATTCATTCATTTATTTTAATTTGACCAGAGAGAGATACACAGAGAGAGAGAGAGGGAAAGTGAGAAAGCAAGCCACCAGGTCCGGTATTTGAACCACAGTATGCCATGTGGGAGTGTCCAGTGCCTTAACCACCACGCCATCTGCCGGTCCCTCATCAATTCATCTTGATCTGTTAATAACAAACATTTATGGAACATTACAACCAACATCTGTAAATCACACATTCTTTTCAAGTGCATGGAACATTTACTAAAATATGTGTACTAGGCTATGTAATAGTCTAAATGAATTTCAAAAAATCGTAACCTTTCTAGAATTATATCAGAAATTGTTAAAAATGATTATACATAGATGTGAATATAGGCACAGATATATAAATAAGTAAGTGTAGGTATGTATAGTTTTAATGCTTATATTGGGAAAAGACCTAATATAAAACCTAAGTTTCTATTTTATTAAGCTAGAAAAAGAATTAAAGCAATTAAACCCACAGTAAATACCAGGAAAAAAATAACAGAGATAAAAGAAAAAAATAAATGACATAGAAAGTTCGAAAACAGTAATGATTGGGGCCAGAAGGTGGCATGGTGTTTAAGCTGCTGGACTCCTACATGGCCAACAGCAATTGGAGACTCAGATCTGGTGGCTTGCTTATCACTTTCCCTCTCTCTCTCTCTCTCTCTTTCTCTCTCTGGTGAATTAAAATAATAATTAATGAATTAATTCTTGGGGAATAAAAACAGTAAGGGCAATGAACAAAACCAAAAATCGGTTCTTTTAAAAGATTAGTGAAGTGAAACATCCACAGAAAGACTTTTAGAGGAATGTTGATTACAGCTTCACTCATAACAGAAAACTGGAAACAACTCAAATGTCTATGTATAGAGAATACGTAAATCAATTATGGCATACTCATTCAATGATATGCTACTGAACGATAAAAGGGAAAGGACTGCTAACGCATACATCAAACTAGATCAATTTGTCAGACATGCTAAACAAGAGAAGCTAACCTAAAGGAGGAGTTACTATAGTATTCCATTTATGTGACATTAAAAACAGTAACACAGACAAAAAAAATCTATGGTGAAAAAAATGAACAGTGAAAAATGGATGCCAGCGGTGGGAAAGTGATTGAGTAGAAAACTTTTTAAGATGATAAAAAACGTTTTATTTATTCATTTATTTTTTAGTTTGCTGTAGGGCATGTGTGCTCACCAGAGGGAGAGAGGGAGAGGGAGAGAGAGAAATTGGCCCCCATGAAGGATGGCCCCACTGTAATCCCTTCTCCTCCAGACTCCTCTCAGGATTTTGGGTATGTACGCACATGCACCCAATATATTTTTCTTTCTTTTTATTTAAAAAAATATTTATTTAATTAATTTTTATTTATTTGTTATTATTAAATTTTAATTTAGCCAGAGAGATGAGAGAAGAGAGAGAGAGAGAGAGAGAAAGTGAGAAAGCAAGTCACCAGGCCAGGACTCGAACTGCAGTTGGACATGTGGGAGTCCTGCACCCCAAACACCATGCCACTTGCTGGTCCCACGCTGATATGTTTTTCAAGCTACCAGGTCTAAGACTTGAACTGCACAGTCAGCCATCTGGAATCCCATTTTCTTAACTCCACATCACCTGGTAGGCCCAGCATTTTATATCTTGATAGTTGTATGAATTAGATAAATACATTCACTTGCCGCTATTCGCCATTGAAATTGTACATTCAAGATTTGTGCATTTCGCTTTTGAGTATTTTATACAAAAATAAATGTAAATAAACATTTAAGTATTAAGTTTGCTTACCAAAGTGGCATGGCTTAGCAAATAAGTAAATATGTTGAAGATAACAGGAGCCAGATTTCTCATTGTTGAAGTTACAAATAACAGCAAGAAGAAAGTATAGAATGTACCCCATGTTGTTGAATTGAGATTAGAGATAGCAGAATGAACGCTAGTATGAAATACATTGCATAAGACATATCATATTTATTTCCTGTCCCCTCTCCTTTGAGAAGACCTAGAAGCCATGACACATCAGTAGTAATAAGTCTATCTAATTCCTAAATCTTGATTTGTAAATATCATTGTCCATGAAAGTAACAGAAAGGCTGATATCCAGGACTGAAGCAGGAGAAGTCTAAAATGAGGCCAGAATGTCAACAAATGCTGAATCAATAATGAGGATATGTCAGAACGATTTTGGGGACCCACCCGATGGTGCAGTGGTTTAGTGCTGCATAGAGGAAGCCAGATCCCACATGGCTGGCCAAGATTGAAATCTCGGTACTGGTGTCTTGGTCAAACATGCCAGGAATGTGTGCTTGTGCCTGGATCCTGATGGGATAGAGAATTGGAGGAAAAAATACTGAAGTGCACATGGACCCTTTAGCATTAGAAAAACAAAAGTTTTGTGGCCAGACCCACATCCTGCTGATTGAGGGAGCTGAAGCCTCCATGGCCAATTGGGTGGTTCAAATCCTGGCTTGAAAAACATGTTGGGCATGTGAGTGAATGTGCTCCAAATCTCGACAGGATGGCGAACTGGAGGGGAAGGGACAGCAGCATGATCATGCCCCTTTGGTGGTGGAGGGGGGGCATGCTTTCTCACTCTCTCTCTGTGTTCTGGGTTGGTTGGGCCTATGGGTAGGTTTTGGCACAACAAACCTGTTGTTAGGGGTGCCTGTCTTTCTCCACTTATCTCCCCTAGACCCATCTGTCTCTGTCAAGGAAGAAATAAATAGACTTTAATAAAGAAGAGAAAGAAAGGAGCCTTGTGAGGACGGATGATGTCAATATGATTAAATATTTACCACTGGTGTCCAAAAATAGAAGAATGTACTGAAGAAAGGAAATATATACTGATGCCTCTGAGACTCAAGTTTTACTCATCATTCATTCATAAACACACACTTAATTGTTTACTAGGCACCTTGCTAGATGCTGGGTAAACTGTGAATAAGGAATATTCTCTGCTCTTACTTTACAGTCAGGAAACTAACACGAATGAGTGATGTTAATCATATACCACTGGAGAAGGCCATGGATGATGGTTGACAGAAGGAGCGTCCGGAATATCCACTTTTTGCCGAGTTTGCACCAGTAGTTCTGCTTTTAGGAACAAATGATGAAAAAGCTACCATTGCCCCTCAATTTATACTTTCTTGCCACCGATAGTATTCCCTTTTATTTCCAGTCTTTATGTTGTATTATTAATTTTGTTTTTATTAACTTGATCTGCTAAACCAACCCTGTGTTCTATTAAGAGTAATCCTTAGAGTTGTGAATTTCCAGATGGGACGTTCTTAAATGCACTTGAATTTTATACTCATTGTCCATACCCTTCATTGATCTCTTGTTACTGTTCATGGCTAGAGTGTCGGGTGGACATGTTAGGCCCTTCCTTGGAAAATGTGGGCTCTTTCCACTTTCCTCAGGCCTATCATAGTATATTGAGCTCTCAGTTATATTGCATTAATAATTAGGTAAAGCTGCACTAAGATTGTCTGGAATAACTAGTTATTCTTTCAGTAGCAATAACTAGTGACATCTTGACCTTTGGTTTCTACTGATGCCTGCAGTGAGATCTAATCAGTGCTATTGTACTTAATTTAGAAGACAAAAGAGTTTAAAGCATTTTAACAAATCTTAGCATGAATTACTGTATCTCTTCGTCAGTTGTCAGCAGCTCAGGATCCAGCTAATAAAAAATATATTTTCCCACAGATGGTCTAAGATGCAAACCACATTGTTCATACTTCTGAAAGAAAAAAAAAAAGGAAAGAAACAATAAAAATAAGATATTGTAAGAGCTTTGAAGTGCCTGGGGCACAATGGCAGGTTCCTTTGTTGAACAGGATTTTCCTAATGCCACTCAGCTAGATTCTTATCAAACATTTCTGAGCAGGAGACAATGAAAATGACCCAGCATGAATAAAAGAACAGAGAGAAATGTGCTGAGATAAAGGCTGAATAGAGTCAGGCAAGTGCCTGGGTCCTCACTGGAGACAAATAGCTCTAGGGAGGGAAGGACACACACTTTATCTTCAGCATTCTTGTTAGAGCTCTGATGTGGAATTGTTTTCCCTTGAAAATGAATGGATTTCTGGGGAAAACTGCTTGGCCTTGTTCTCTGGAGTTTTCATTGCCCTGTGCAGTCATTTTAATGAGTTATTTCTCACAGCCCCCCTGCCAGACAAGTCATCATCAATATCCCTGCTTTGGAAGCCAAGCTAAGTGGGGCAAGGGCTGAGGGGTGACTCAGTCCTAGGACTTAGTTATGTGGTGGTCATGTAGCTGAGGATGGTTATCAGCTGTCTTGGGGAGTCTCTACTGAGTTCAGAAGAGAGTGTGGAAACAGGGGTGAAGGATGGGTGGGGGTCATGTTATATCAAAAAGGAGTTTCTGGAAATTGGTTTCCCAGTCTTGGTGGAGTGGACTTTCACGTGGAGGCGAGGAAGTCTGATCACCTATGGGAATGATCACCAAGACCCAAAACGTAGACCTGGACCTTGGGCTTCCAGAAAAGAAAAAGAAGGTGATCAAAGAACCAGAGACTCAATACTCAGTTTTACACAATGATAATTATCTCTCTGACAGTTCTCCTGTGAGAACCATATTTCTCTCTGAGAATGTGGTCTGAGGACAGGCATCTGAGATGTCTCCAATGAAGAAAAAGAAGAAGGGCCACAGGACCCCCAGTGAGGAGCCCCCAGATTCTGAGACCTGATTGCGTGCCTGATGGGCAGACAAGTCACCCAACCCCAGGAAGCAGTTCCTTGGTCATTCTGAGGTCCTGGGGGAGTAGGGGGAAGAAGAAGACAAAGAGGAAGTCCTTTTTAACTCTGGCTGTGTCCATGGCTCAGGGACGAAGGCCTCTCCAGACCACAGACCAAGTGAGGAGGTGACCAGTGTTGGCAAGATGCCCAAAAAACAGAAGGAAATAAAGGCCAAGGATGGTGCAGCCTTCTCAGTCCGGGGCCCTTGGTCCTGCAAAGGTTGAGGATGCTCTGTACAGTTGCTCTGAGGGGAAGGAGGGTGAGGAACAGACAGTTTTCGGGCAGAAATGGAAGCAGGGGAGCCCCAGGGAACACAACAAGAACATGAAGAAGAAAATTCACCACGAAGGAGATACTATCCTGGGCCACTCAAAACTCTCCAGGTCTGTGGAGAACAGTCCTAGGAAAGTTAGCAAAAAGGAGCGGGTCAATGTTGAAGCTCTAGAGTACATCCCGATAGAAGATGGCCTGAAGGCCCCGGCCAAGAAGAAAATGAAGTCCAAGAAAGAGGTGGAGCAGCAAGGCATTGAGGAGCTGGCTCTGAAAAGGAAGAAGAAAAAGAAGAAGAAAGAGAGTGGGGCAGCAGTAGACCCTTGGGAGGAGGAAGCAGACACAGACTTAGAGGTGGCGTTGTAAAAGAAGGGCAACATGGATGAAGCACACATAGACCAGGTGAGGCGAAAGGCCTTGTAAGAAGAGATCAATCATGAGTCAGGCAAAATGGAAGCATCTGAAAACAGGAAGTGGACGGGAATCCACTTTGGCCAGTGGATGGGAACCCAGTTCTGCTGGTTTTGAAAGTGAGGAACAGAAACTGAAATTTCTCAAACTCACAACTGGTTTTATAAACCTCTCCCTCTCATCCAGCTACTCCAGTAGCATGGGTGGACGGTCCAACATGGCTGTCAGCTAGAAGGTGGACCACAGCCTGAAGCAGAACCTGCAGCAGGACTATGACCACGCCATGAGCTGGAAGTGCAACTGCGGAACTGGCCTAGGCTTCTCCACTGCCCCCAACAAAATCTTTTACATTTTTTTTTGTATTGACAGGGATGCCTCTAGGTCAATCAAGTTGGAAGATTAAGCTCTAGTAAACACACAAATTGCTTTTATTATTCAGTTTTACAGACAAAAGCCATCTGACAGTTGTCTCAAACCAAATACCTGCAAGGATTAAGGACAACTATCCTGATGGACTTGAAGGATCCTGGGTGAGAGCAGCTCATGTTTCAGGGGCCAAGAGAATGAGTGACTGAAAGCAATGGCTGTCCAGACATTCCATCCCTGTTTGCCAAGACCTCAGAATGTATAGTAATGGCAGCTAATGCGGAGAGTTTAGCAACTGCCAAGCACATACTGAAGTGCTTTTCTCGCATTCATGCATTTCTTCTTCATAATGGGTGCTATTATTATTCCCATCTTATAGATGAGGCAACTAAAGTTCAGAGATACATTAATAAATCGTCCAAGGTCAACTAAAAAAAAAGGAAAAGAGTTTAGAGTTTTTGGTCTCAGAGGAGTGTTTCCTGCCTCATCATGGAGCTTTCTGAGGGCAGGAACCTGTCTTCTGTCTCCTGGTTTGAACCATCACATCATCTACACCTAGAAATATGTGTTCCTAGAAAATAATGTTCAACTGGGTTGATGAATGGCATGGACAGCTCATTACGTAGGGATATTTCATCCAAGGTTAGAGGCACGGTGATTTAGGCTGACTTGATCTACCAAGAAGAAGGGACCAGATGACTGATCCCATGAAGACACTGCCATTTCTTGGGTTGCAAAGGTAGCACCTGATATTGACTCTGTTCAATTCAATTCAAAATTCAGTCAAATCATTACTTCCTAGTCATCCATTATGTGAATGGTGGTGGGCAAGGCACTGGATGGATTGCAGAAATAAATAGGTCATGGCTTCTGCCTTCATAAAGCAAAAGGTGGAATGGGAGAGAAAAAATGATACCACTCCTTATACCTCAGGTACCTGAGAATATGAGAAATGCAGTCTTAGAAATTTAACCAGAGGGGATCAGCTGGTGACGTGCTGGTTAAGATAGCTGGATCCCAAATGGCTAATTTCACAGTGTAAAGCTCAGACACAATGACTTGAGAAACAAGACAGGCGCATGTGTATACATACCCTGAATCCCCAGAGAATGAAAAAGGGATTGTGGCATGGCCATCCCTCCTGTGGGGAACTTTCCCACTTTGCCTTTCTCTCTCTGTCTAGTGAGTGCATATACCCTATAGTAGAACTAACTAAAAAGAAAAAAAAATGTTCAATTTATTTTAAAAGAAAAAAAGAAAAAAAGAAAAAGAAAGAAATTCAACTTAAATTTCTGATACCATGCAGGAGGAAGTGATTAATTCCTATTTGGGAATTGGAAATGAAAGGATAATGATAGCACAAGCTAATAACACTATGTGCTATGTAGGTAAGTGCTTTAATTATTTTATTTAATACTTACAACAACCATACACAGTGGATACTAATAATATTTTCATTTTATTCATGATAATATGGAAGCAGAGAGAGGTCAAGTAACTTCCCAGTAAGCAACAGAGGCAGAATTGAACCCAGGCAGCCCAACACAGCTAAAGAAAACTCATATATTGGATTACTCACTTATCTCTGAGGATAACTCTGGAAGTGATATTATTGTCTTTTCCATTTAAAAAATAAGACTGAAAGAAATGAAATAATTTGGCTAAATTACATGGCTAATAAATATCAAAAGACGTGTTCAAACCCATACCGGTGTAGTCTCAAAAGGAGTCATCTCCACTATTTACAAGAAGCAAATGGTCAATGGTCCCTCAGGGCATCAGAAAGCCCAGGAAGCTAGTGTATGTCTAGCTGAAAGCAACTGAGTGATCCCAGGCATGAACCCTGAGAAGTCTCCAGCCTACTATAGGTTTGTCTCCATACATGAACTGCTACCTGTAAACTTGCAGCCCAGTAGACATCAGATAGATGTCTTTCAAACTAGCCAAATTAGGACCAGTATATGATGGAATGGTTACAACTCTGGACTCCATGTAGTCAACTGTGGTTCGAATCTCAGACCTGGTGGCTTAAAACTCACGTGTGTGAGTCTGGGTGTTTGGGCGCATCTGTGTGCGTGCCCAAAATCCAAGAGGAGAACAGAGGGGAAGGGATTATGGTGTGGCCATCTCCGCTGGGCGGTGATTTCTTTCTGTCTATCTCTCTGTATCTCTGGTGAGCACACGTGCCTGATAGCAAAAACAAACAAACAAACAAACAAAAAAGCAACAACAACAATAGCAACAACGAAAAACCTGGCCAAGTTGTCCATAGGATGGTTGCATTAGTTATCTGTTGATGTGTAAAAGATTACCACAGCACACATTATCTCACAGTTTCTATAGACCAGGAATTTGGGCGTGGCGTAGCAGGGCCCTCTGCTCAGGCTCTCACAGATGCAAGGTGCAGGCTGGTTGTATTCTTTTCTGGAGCTCAGACTCCATTTTTAAGTTCATTCAGGTTGTTAGCAGAATTCAGTTCCTCACAGTTATAGAGCCGAGGTTCACAATTCCTAGATGCCACTTGTCTCTGTAGGCAGCTGACAGCACGGCTGTTTCTTTAAAGTCATCAAGAGCATGTGTATTATGAGTTGAATATTTGTATCACCCCATAATCTATATATTGAAATCCTAATCCCAATGTGATAGTATTATAGACCTTTTGGGAGGTAATTCGGTCATGAGGAGAAGCCCTCATGAATAGGATTATTGCCCTTTTTAAAAGGAACTCCTGTGGACCAGCAGATGGCATAATGGTTATGTCACTGGACTCCCAAGGAGTTGATCAAAGTTCGAGCCTGGACTCAGAGGCTTAAAACTCAGGCCAGGCATATGTGTGTGCATGCCCAAAATTCCAAGAGGGTAATGGTGAAGGGATTGCAGCATGGCCATT